GCGGGCCCCTCATGGGGCTCGGCAGTGGAGCTGCAAGGCCGGCGGTGGCGGCCGGAACCGTTGGGGGCGGGGTGTGTGGCCTTATGCCACACTTCCGGTGATGTCAGGGGGTGTGGCATATCCTAATGAGTTATGCTAATGAGTTCCCCTAGCTCTTTTTCTACGAAACGACCCCTGGTTAGACGAATCTATTTATTGCAGTGAAAACAGGGGATACAGGGGCTGAGTGCCTTAGCACTTCAGCAGTTCCAGGAAGGGCAGAAGGTCTTGTACCCCAAATGACATCACATATAATTTACACATTAAAAGATCTCTAACTGGTACCAAGCAGTTAACGTCATGGAAACATCATTTGACTCAGTGCATCTCTCAGTGGTGTCAGTAATTACACGTGTTTATCTTGTCCCTTCCTGGGCTCACGTGTGGAGAGCTAGCTGATAAGGGCTGTGAATCACATTGAACTTCGCTCTTGGCGGCCTTGCAACTTCTAAATAGCATTTCATTCTTATTGCATCCTAATTCCTTCTACAGAAGCTTCTTATACACAGAAATGCAGATATAAAATATATGTTCTGCCAAGATTCTAGGTTACATACCAAAATCTGGATCTATTATGATTAAACTTTTGAAGGCACAGTGACAGCTGTCAATATAAATCAAGGAGAAAGTGTCAGAAATCACATTCAGGAATCACATTCTTTTCCCCTTGTCCTACAAGATCAGACCAAGGAGTCAGTCTTGTCCAGCATTCTGTCTCACACAGTAGCCAGTTGCCCTGGAGGGCCAACAAGAAGGGGATGGAGGCCAAGGCCTTCCCCAATGCTACCTTCTAGCACGTGGTATTCACATGTTTACTGCCTCTGTATATAGAGATTCCCTTTTGTCACCATAGTTAGTAGCTGCTGATAGACTTCTCCAAGAATTGGTCTAATCCCTTTTGAAAGCCATCTGTGCTCATGGCCATCTAGAGTTGCCAGCTCCGGGTTGGGAAATACCTGGAGATTTTGGGGGTGGAGCCTCAGAAGGGTGGGGTTTGGGGAGGGGAGGGACTTTAATAGGATATGATGCCGTAGAGTACATCTTTCAAAGTGGCCATTTTTCTCCATGTGAACTGATTGCTGTTGCCTGGAGATCAGTTGTAATAGCAGGAGATCTCCAGCCACCACCTGGAGGTTGGCAACATTATGGCCATCAGTGTGTCCTCTGTTTAGTTACTACTTGGGTAAAGAAGCCCCCCCCAATCCTCACTGTTGATGAATTAAAGGTTAAAGATAAGAACATGAGAAGAGTCCTGCTGGATCAGACCAGTGGTCCATCTAGTCCAGCATCCTGTCTCACACGGTGGCCACCCAGTTCCTCTGGAGGGCCAACAACAGAACATAGAGGCTGAGGCCTTCCCCTGATGTTGCCACCTGGCTTTGGGATTCAAAGAATTCATGCCTCTGAATGTGGTGGTTCCCCTCAGTCACCATGGCTAGTAGCCATTGATAGACTTATCCTCCATGAATCTATCTAATCCCCTTGTAAAGCTGATAATCCCCTTTTAAAGGTGTGACTCTTGTTCTTTTGTGAGCTACATAAGAGCCATCTCTCTATTCCCCTCTAGGTCAACACCTTCCAGGCTGTCTTGACAACCAACAGGCAAATCTCCTTCATCGTGTTAAATTACAGTAGCATTCAGTGGACCACAGGGACAGCAAGTGGTGGGAATGCAGCTACGGGCCTTGGTGGAACCCCAGCGCAGGTAGATCTTCTGGGTACTAGGAAAGTTGGGAAGCAAGGATAAACAGTAACTAAATCATGTCTTCCGTCAGAGAAATATCAAAATCCCAATGTATTGACAAGAGGCAAAAAGGTTCTTTTCCAGTGAGGGATCCGGAGGCAACAAGCACAGCAGAAGCGAAAGAAAGCAGTTTTATTGAAATCTCTTTGGTAATGAGAAATCAACAAGTCATAGGAACGAAACAAAGAATATATCCTTAGGCCTCTTCTGTTACAGGAACCCCAAAGAACAACAGCAGGTAGACTCCAAGGACGTGCTCAGTGCTGCTTTGCGGTCCAGCCTGAGCCAAGGTTCGAAAAGCAGAATGGCTCTCAGGAACTTATAGACTATTCTAGGTTTTCACCTGTGTGTATGTGTGCGTGTTATTTCTACAAACAACCTTGGCCAACTTGTAAAAGGTGCAAGGCAGCTAATATCTTGTACAAGAAACTCCCTGAGTTCCAGAACCAGGTGCATGAGTCTAATATATAAACAACCCACTCCCAAAGTGTAATAGCAAGAGATACGTGAATACGGGGGGCGATGGGACACATTTTTCAGGAAAGAAATATCTCTAGCACCAATAACCTCTTCAGGTCTGACTCACTCACAGAATATGGGCACAGATGGAGACACTGCAGCAGATGTACAATGATCTTGCAAAAAGTGCCACTACAGCCAGTTAATAAAAACTTATGTGCAGTGGATAGCTATAGACCACTTCACCCCAAGAGCCAGAGGGTGACACATGATTCTGTTCTGTTGCTGAAGCCAAACAGGGCTTGTTCTTCACTGCCAGGAGAGGACTACTTCCTCCTTAGGATAACAAAGAGAAGAAACCAAATATTTAAAAGTAGAATAAGGTAGCTTAGCAAAGAATGTCATAGGATGAGAGTTCTACCACATTTTCGATACGGTTCAATTCTCTGAATTTTGGCATCAGACAATACAATACAGAAGTACTACAGTGAATAAAGTACAAATAAGACAAATCACTCAAGTGGTAATATGTTGTGGCCTGGATTGGACCATATGCTTCTTTTAAAAAATTAAGCACAAACTGTTAAATTATGCATAGGAGTTTTATGATGCAAAATATGCAAGATTTCTCCAGTTTTACTTAATTCATTCTCCCTCTACAGGAACTACACTGAAGATCTGGCCTCGGACCACTAAAAAACTCATTCAGTTAGGTTCTCTGGCTTTTATTTGCTAGGCTGGGACCACACAGTTTCATGTCCATGTGTGTGCAGTCATAAGGACTAGAAAGTTTCTTTTTATAAAAATAAAAAATTGTGATTTCTAGGAAGCTGAGTTTTGTGGCCCAAACCACATTTTGTGACTGTACTTCTGTAGAGTATACACAAAGGCTGATTTCGCACTAGAGCTGCCTCGATATTGCGCTGCCGTTTGCCCCGATACTATTGGTCAATTTCACACCCGAAGCCGCGGGGGCAATTTCACACCCGAAGCCGTGGGGCAGCATTTGACCCGCGGCTTCGGCCGATTTCCTCCGCAGTTTCGTGATCTTCAAAACACAGGATCACGAAACTGCGGGGGAAATCGGGCGAAGCCACGAGTCAAAATGCAGCCCCGCAGCTTCGGGTGTGCAATTGACCAATAGTATCGGGGCAAACGGCGGCGCAACGTCGAGGCAGCTCTAGTGCGAAATCAGCCAAAGCTCTGCCCATGTGTATACTCAGCCAAAGCACAACTACAAAATGCAGAACAGATGTTCTATGCCAGTAGGAGGAGGGCCAACTGATTCTTTGCCAAAGCATAAAAGTCATCCCTCCTAAATTTCCTTGCATAGAACTTCTTCCACCACCTACTCACCCTGAGAACACCTACCCAGATTTGTGCAATGGTTGATATTATGTGCACAGTGAGTGGTTTTCACATTTACAATGAATTTTTTTTCACCGTATATAGACAGTCACATAGCATGGACAGCTCCAGGCAAAGGAGTTCCTGTACCAGACAATTGTTTAATAATAACACATTTCTACCCACAGGCTGGATTTGACAGTGGAGACAAAAAAAATTACTACAACATCCCTTCTTCCCGCACTGCTGATATCATCAATATCGGGAGGACCACTAACGTGGGTGTGCCAGGGCGATGGGTTTTCCAGGTGGATGAATTTGTGGTTCCAGCCCCCACGGAGAGTGTTGACTGCGCACTGTGAGTACATGGAACACCAAAAGCCACCTCTTCCCTCTGTTCCATGGGTGCCCCAATTCATTGAGCCTGAGGGCACATTTGGGATTTTGAGAACACTGAAGGGAAACATCACAAAGTCGTTGCCGTGGGTGCTGGAGCCAATTACAAAACGTCAGAAGGTTCCAAACCAAGCCTGCTCCTAGAAACTGTGTCTCAGTGGGTACTCCCTGCTAACCAAAGGAAATGACTCTTTTGCTCTTCTGAAGCATCCCTACTCCAGTGAGGTAGAGGAAAGCCAGTACTGACCCTTTGCTTGAAGAAGAGATGCTTTATATGGAAGAAGCAACCAGGAAACACAACAGCGGGCACCAGGACATCCACAGGCAAAATGTTTTGGGATCAATGCCTGGCCTATAGCTACAGTGGGGCTATTGGGGGCTCCGCCCCCTTCCTTAAAGAGCCCCCCTCTTCCCAAAAGCATTTAAAGGGATCCTTTAAATGCTTTTGAGAAGAAGCAGGGGGTGGCGCACACCCCTTTCCCTCCCCTTCTGCAAGATTTAAAGGACCCTTCAGCTCATTGGCAGGGGGCACATGGCCTGCTGATCAGCGGGACGGCCCATTAAATCTTGCAGGAGGTGAGGAAGAGCAGTGTGCACTGCCCCCCTTCATTATGGCTAATAATGGCAACCCCACCAGCCCCACTAGAATTTTTTTTTGCCCCACAGGCCACAAAATCCTGGCTAGGGGCCTGATCAGTGCTCTAGTCCCTGCGGAGCAGACAGGTGGTTTGCAGGCTTCCAAGTCCCCCACCTGTTGTTGAGACAAATGTGCACTTTTTTCTTGTAGACCAAATACTGTTATTTCATGTTAATATATCATCACTGGGTATATATATCTACTGGGAAGGTCTTCCTCACAGCCCCACTGAATGAATGACAGAGATACAAGGGCAGCCTTTCCTATGCCCAGTGCATTTCAGAGTTGTAATTTTCCTGTTTTGCATAATACTGATTTCCCCCCCCCGCCCCCCATTCCGGATGCTTTATTCTGACTTTACCATTCATGGGGAGGAGCAAGGAATTTTCCAGGCACCACCCAATGCCTGGCAACTCCTTAAGCCATCCCTCTGACTGCTTTTGAGATTTCACCAGGCATGGACTGCACTCATTGAAGCACATTTCACAGCCATGAGTTCAAAGCAAGCAAGCAAGCTTAGCTTGTATTTCATGTACAGTACCCATTGGTTCATTTTTCTGTTATCGTGCAGAATCAGGACATCCACCAAGCTTCACTCAAATCCATTTTGGGGGGGGGCATCCACCAAGCTTCACTCAAATCCATTTTTTTTGGCCTGATGTCTGTTGTGGATCAGGCTGTAATTAACTAATCTTCTGTTTGGTGCAGTGGTTAGGAGCGCAGACTCTAATCTAGGAGAACTGGGTTTGATTCCCCACTCCTCCACATGCAGCTGCTGGTGTGACCAGTCAGTCACAAGTTATTTCAGAAGCGTTCTCTCAAGGGCAGTTCTCGAAAGAGCTCTCTCAGTCCCACCTACCTCAGTCTGTTGTGGGGAAGGGAAGGGAAAGGAGTTTGCAAACTGCTCTAAGATTCCTTTGGGTAGTGAAGACTGGGGCATAAATCCAAATTCCTCCTCCTCTCCTTCTTCTTCTTCTTCTTGGAACTCAGAAGGGTGGATCAGGCAAGAAAGTTGGGAGGTGTAACATGATTGCTGATATTTCCTTTCTGTGCCCCACCTGTGTGGGGAAAAAAGAGAAAAGAATGAGGGACCACAGAAGATTTATTCCAAAGTCCACCAAACCATCTTGTCCTGAGCAAAGGAGTCCCTGGAGTTATCCCACTCCCACCAGAATGTGCCTGTGTTCCCAGGCTCCACACACACACACCCTAGACCCCAGGAAGCTGCATGAAGTGGATCTCATTTGGGGCTAACCCCGTTAAGTGCAAGTATCCTGGCTCTTCTGGTTCCTGGCTCTCACAAACTTGAGTCTCCCATAAGAATGCCATAAAACCAAGCTTTTTTTCTAGTTGCCAGTGGTAGAACACACCACACACAGCAACAAAGCAGGGATGCTTTTGGAATCTAAAATGGGTTTTCGTTTTGTTTAAATTGCCAATAAATGATAGAGGTCTGAGCATTTGTGAGCTATTACTGCCCAAGGTAGTGAAGATGCAGTCTCCATTCAAGTGCAAAACATGGCTGTTTCCTTTCTCCAGGTGAGAGCTTCAGAAATTAAGTCTCTTTGTCCATCCGCTTCCAATCAGGATCCACTCAAACTAAGCCTTGCAGTGATATCTCTGCTGCCTTTATAGGCAGGGAGCCTTCAGAATCTATAGCTGCGGATTGTGTTGTAATAATAAACAATTCTGCTTGCACTCATGTTTGTCTTTGTCCATGAACACTGGGCCATGAAAACTGGGCATACTGTCTGATGAAGGCATCACACATATGACTGTTAGTGAGCCCGTGGAGGTTAATTTATGATGAGGCATCAGACACTGATGGTCTTCCAGTCTGGTTGATGGAAGTTGCAGATCCACAGGCTTGGAACGCAATGCACAGAATACCGGTCTGACGGATGATCACTGGGATCTTCACCCTGTTTCTACTTGGAGTTGCAAATACTCACATGTAATCCCATTTATGTGCACAGATCTCTGGACCGGGAGGCAAGGGTTGGAGGAAGAGACTTTTCTCCATTCCAGTCTAGTCGTACAAGAAGATTGTACAATAAAGATTGGGGGGGGGGGGTCTTTACAACACTTCATTCCCTCTCAAATTCAACCTTCTTTTAAATCCAGGTCCCCCCCCCCCACAATTCTGCACTAAAATCGAGTTCAACCTTCCTTTTATTCCATTCCCCCCCCCAACATCCTGCATTACATTATCTCCCTTCAGTGGTCAGTCCAGTTTCAGCCTGCTGTTGCCCCGGTTTATTTGGATGCTGTTTTGCCGGGGACTTCAACTGCCTCAACTCAAACACTGAGATAATTTGGAGTGGCAGGCAAATGCCGATAAAGTGACTGTTATGAAATTCATTGTTATGGGGAGGAGAGTCAGTAGTTTAGGTTTATCTTGCAAGAGCCAAATCTCAGCACTCAACTTGAATACATAAAGCAATCTTCTGCTAAAGTAGACCATTACTGTAGTGATTGTTGTAGAGGACAGGAGTTTCAAGAGGATCCCTGCTGGTTAGGAGGGAGGAGTTGCAGACAGTAGGACTCAGTCAGCAGTGAGTGTATTATCCTTAATACAGTGTTTGTTTGGCAATAAACGATTGTACTTTGGTATGTCCCTCATATGATAGAACCCTAATTTATTACAGTTGGTCTATTGAGGTCAGTAACGACTATACGGACTGCAGTGATGGCTTGTGAGGATTAGAGTTTGTAGGTCCAATGTCCTTTGTTTGGTGTAACCAGTTTGGTGTAGTGGTTAAGTGTGCAGACTCTAATCTGCCGGGTTTGATTCCCCACTCCTCCACTTGCAGCTGCTGGATGACCCTGGGCAAGCCATAGTTCTGTCAGAGCTGTTCTCTCAAGGACAGTTCTCTCAGAGCTCTCTCAGCCCCGCCTACCTCACAGGGTGTCTGTTGTGGGGAGGGGAAGGGAAAGGAGATTGTAAGGCACTCTGAGACT